CGATCTCATTTTTCAAGCCAGGGAAAAAAAAAATAATAATAATAATAAAAGAAAACATTTTTTTCAAGTTAAAATAAAAACATCCTTAACAACCAGCAGCTTGCAAGATCCGATCAGATCCATTATTTCCTTCCTTTCTCCGTAGAAATTTTCGTCTTTCTCTTCCAAAACTCCTCTTTTCTACTATTTTTGTGCATGAATCGATCGTTTCGTCTCTGGATTTCCAATTTTAGTTTCAGAATTTCCTAAAGTTTTCGTCTTTTTCGACATTAGGGTTCCACAATCATCAAGATCCTCTCTTCAATTTTGGGTTCTGAAGTTTCGGGGTTTCGATTCCGGGGTCTCAGGGTGACTGAAATGCACAAGATCGTGACTTGGTGTTTCTAAAGCCGGAAACTTTCGCGCCCTCTAGGTGCATGAGGATTTGGTGTTTTTCATGCTTTTTCGGCAGCGAAGACGACTGTGAGACCCCGAAGGAAGCCATGAAGGAGGGGGCTTTCCATAATGGCGGTGACCTTGAGGGTAGTAATACTGGAAATGACGATGACTGCCAGAACGCTGCTGGTCAATTGACTCTCAGTCTCGACAGACTTGCGCCGGCTGATGATTCGAGGGTGTTTCAGGAGAGGATCACAGCGATGAGGGGTGGAACTAATTGGGATGATGCCTCGTGGCGGCCTTCGTTTCGCTGCTTGAGGCCTGGGGAGGGTGAGAGTAGCAGCTCCGCTTTGGCTGCAGGTACAGAGGATGGTGATCACGATTCCCACCATAAGCGAGCCAAAGTCCACTCTGGTCATCAGTGAGTCTATTACTCGGTTCACTCTCTGTTTTGGTTCTTCAAATTTAGTCCAGTTTTTGTTCTGTAGGAAAATGAGCTCAATACCAAAATATTTCTTCTTTCTTTGTGCATGATATGAAATTAATTTACTTGGACAAGTGTTTTTCCTTGCAGTGAATGTCATTTTGCTACCCCATCATCTTCCGATATTGGGAACTCTAGCTCATCAGTTGACAAAGTCTATAATATTAATCACAACTCCTCTACGCCATCAAATAATGGAATAATCTATCATAATTTCATCTTGAATAAAGGGGGTGATGAGAGTCGCTTTGATGCTAGTGGCAGTAAAGATGATGAAGATGATGAGAGTGGAGCTTCGAGGGCAGACGAATTAGAAGTTCAAATGGATCTGACAGATGATTTATTGCATATGGTAGGGTGTGGTTTTCTAATTTTCTAATAAGCTATTCTTTATGTTTGCTTTTGAATTTTAATGATGAATTCAATTCATCACCTACTTGTTTTTCTTTTCCAGGTTTTCTCTTTCTTGGACCACATTAGTCTTTGTGGAGCTGCTATAGTTTGTAAACAGTGGCGAGCAGCTAGTGCTCACGAAGATTTCTGGAGGTGTTTGAATTTTGAAAACCGAAATATATCTCTTGAACAATGTAAGTTTTTCTACATCTAGGATTTTGGCTAAAATATATGCATATTTTCAAAGAACCCTCTATATTAGGGTAATACACGAGTATATTCCTATCACCCTCACTATATTTTTAAAATTATCTTGTTTGTTACCCTCCTCTGTGATAATACTCTATGCTTCTGTCCGTGGCACGTGTTATCAAAAGTAGTATGTAGTCCACTAGTTGGATTAAACTAGAATATGGGGGATGTAATTACTTAATCTTTTGAATCATGGCCCTTCTTTAAGTTGATTATCCTAAACTTTGTCAGCCTGAATTTTTATGACTTTCTTGATCAGAGATTATCTATAATGTTAAGTATAAAATGGAAATCTTAATATCTTATAGACATTGTTTGTTATATTTTTATTTTCTTTAAACAATTCTTTTCAGTGTTGTTTGGGGGGTGGGGTGAAAGTGCGTGTCATATAGCTGATTTACATACTTTGCAGTTGAGGATATGTGTCGACGGTATCCAAATGCCAGTGAAGTGAACGTTTTTGGAACTCCCAATTTGCATTTGCTTGTGATGAAAGCAATGACATCTTTACGGTAACAGGCTCTTTTCATATTCCGCATTTTAAAGTTTTTAGGGATTGTAATTGATACGTGTATTAATTCTCATCTGCAGAAATCTTGAGTCTTTGACTTTGGGAAAAGGCCCTCTAGGGGATAGCTTCTTTTCCACCTTGGCAGATTGTAATATGTTGACGAGTTTGAATGTGAATGATGCTACCCTAGGCAATGGTCACGAAATATCCATATACCATGATCAATTGCATCACCTAAAACTAACCAAATGCCGTGTGATGCGTATATCCATCAGGTGAAACGACTTCTTTATTAAACCAGACTAATATTAGCTTTTATTTAATCTGATCAAGCTTTTTTTGCTAAGATATGATCTTTTGCAGGTGTTCACAACTAAAAGACCTGTCTTTGAAACGTAGCAACATGGCACAAGCAGCACTCAATTGTCCTCTTTTGCGTCTTCTTGATATAGGCTCTTGCCACAAGCTTTCAGATGCAGCGATTCGTACAGCAGCAACTTCATGCTCACAGTTGGAGTCTTTAGACATGACAAATTGTTCCTGTGTTAGTGATGAAACATTGCGTGAAATTGCTCTAACTTGTATTAATCTCCATGTTCTTGATGCTTCATACTGCCCAAACATATCTCTTGAGGTCAGTTTTTGCTAGTGGTTAGTGTTGGTTTTAAAAGTACTAGGCTTTTTATTTTATTTTATTTTATTTTTAAATATCCCATATGCCTTTGTCTGATACATTCTCGCTCCTTTTTTTTTTTTTTCAATGAAGTCTGTACGTCTGCCAATGTTAACAGTTCTTAAGCTTGAGAGTTGTGAGGGTATCACATCAGCCTCAATGGCTGCAATATCTCATAGTTATCAGTTGGAGGTATGTCCTTTTTTTGCGCTAGGTATTTATCTGGAGGTCTACTGTGTATGCTGTCAGTTTAAATATTTGTGAGCTGTCTAAACTGATTCAGTTATTTGGTACAGGTTTTGGAACTTAATTCCTGTCACCTATTGACATCTGTGTCGCTTGATCTTCCTCGCTTAAAGAATATTCAATTGGTTCATTGTCGAACGTACATTTGTCTTCCATCTAACTGAAAAAATTGCTTCCTTAGTTTCTCGTTGTGGCTTTTTTAAATTTTGGGTGGGGTGAATGGGGATTCTTCTCCTATTCTTGACATTTGTACAATTTCTTTTTTTTTTTCTTTTTTTTTTTCTCTACAGGTTTACTGATTTAAATTTACAAAGTGTAATGCTGTCATGTGTGATAGTTTCCAATTGTTCTGCACTCCAGCGCATTAGCATCAATTCAAGTTCACTTCAAGTATGTTTTCTTCATGAATAGTATTCCTATTTTTACCTTTCTCTGTATCACATATGGCTTGGACTAAAGCAATGGTGTCATGAATATGCAGAAATTAGCACTGAAAAAGCAGGAGAACTTGACAACCTTGGCATTGCAATGCCAATCTTTGCAAGAAGTTGACCTTTCAGATTGTGAATCCTTGACAAATTCCATTTGTGAAGTTTTTAACGATGATGGTGGTTGCCCTAGGCTCAAGTCCTTAGTTCTTGATAATTGTGAGGTTTGTAAATTCTGTCCTCTTTGTTAGTTAGTTATTGCTCCTAGTTGATATGATGTTCATCTCAATCACTCTTTTGGCTATATCATAGCAAAAGTTTCTGCTTCCTAATTCTGCTTTTGTGGGATACTGGATTTTGTGCCATTTGTAGTAGTTACCTTTGCATCCTTTTCTCATTCCTTTTGATTCATTCTCTTGCTTTAAATGTTGGCAGAGCTTGACAGAAATTCGATTCTGCAGCACATCCTTAGTGAATCTTTCCCTTGTTGGTTGCCGCGCTATCACTGCTTTGGAGCTTGCATGCCGTTGTCTTGAGAAAGTCTGCTTAGATGGTTGTGATCATCTTGAAAGAGCATCATTTTCCCCTGTAAGTGACTATGATTGCTGTATTGTTATGTAATTCATCTGCCTCATTTTTATGAACCGGCTGATGCATGCAACTCCATTGCTATGTCCATACTGGGAAATTCTTGCCATTCTCAGGTTGCTCTTCAGTCGCTTAATCTTGGAATATGCCCCAAATTGAACAAACTTACAATTGATGCACCACTTATGGTCTCCCTTGAGTTGAAAGGATGTGGTGTTTTATCCGAAGGATCCATAAATTCTCCTCGCTTAACATCTCTGGATGCTTCCTTCTGCAGGTCATGTTGTTTTGCTATGTTCTTTGATATGCTTGTTAATAGATGGTTACTGAGATTGTTTATTTAATTTTTATGCAGCCAACTCACAGATGATTGCTTATCTGCAACCACAGTTTCCTGCCCACTGATCGAGACTTTGATTTTGATGTCTTGCCCATCTATTGGTTCTGATGGACTGTACTCTTTGCGCTTGCTTCCAAATCTGACAACACTTGATTTATCATACACCTTTCTGACTAATTTGCAGCCAGTTTTTGAGTCTTGTTTGCAACTTAAGGTAATCTTTAAAAATCCTGGAAAAAGGTGTATTATAGGTGTGTTCGATATTCCTTTTTTTAACATTTACTGTTTAGATTTAAATTTTGTGCTGGTGTAAAGTCACCAAAATAAAAATGTATTGAATCGAACATTGAGAGGTACTGATGCTTTTTCTTAGAAATTCTTCTGATGTTGTTGCTTGAGATTTAGTGTATGGTACGTTGTATGGTATGCATTGTGCTTTTAGTAGATATTGCAACAATGGTAATTTTTATTTAAAATGCCAATGCAAAAGGTTATGAGTCATTTAAAATTTTCATTCTTGGTTTTATTCCTGGAATTTGGACATGCCTTGATTTATGTCTGAAGAGTTTGTGCTCCATTTTAGACTTTCTGCTCTATTTTAGACTTTCTGCTCTTTTTTGTTCCCATATAATTTTGTTATCTTACTTGTATTATTACTACTATTATTAAGGTGTTGACATTACAAGCATGCAAATATTTGGCTGACACATCACTTGAGCCTCTTTACAAGGACGATGCTCTGCCAGCACTCCAAGAATTGGACTTGTCTTATGGTACCCTCTGTCAGTCTGCCATAGAGGAACTTCTTGCCTGTTGTACCCACCTAACTCATGTGAGCTTGAATGGTTGTGTCAATATGCATGACCTGAATTGGGGTTCTACTGGTGGTCAACTTTATGAGTGGCGTAATCGTGGCATGTCTTCTCCCATGAATGTCACTGAGCCAATGTCTTCTCCCATGAATGTCACTGAGCCAATGTCTTCTCCCATGAATGTCACTGAGCCAATGTCTTCTCCCATGAATGTCACTGAGCCAATTGAGCAAGCGAACAGATTGCTGCAGAACCTCAACTGTGTGGGCTGTCCAAATATTAGGAAAGTCCTTATTCCACCAGCAGCTCGTTGTTTCCACCTGTCATCATTAAATCTTTCTCTGTCAGGGAACTTGAAGGAAGTTGATCTTTCATGTTACAATTTATCCATTCTTAATATGAGGTGTGCATTTTTTGACTTGATTGTTTTTTTTTTTTTTTTTGAGTTCTCTTTCTTTATCATATTGCTATCATGTTTGGTAATGTGCCTTGTGTTTGTGTCTATCCAGCAATTGTTGCTCTCTGGAAGTTTTGAAACTTGATTGTCCTAGATTAACCAGTCTCTTTCTTCAGGTATGTTTTTTTCTGTCAGATATGTTGAGGTATTATTTTTCATCTGGTTGTGTCACATTAAAATGGATGATCCGCAGATGTCATTTTTTAGGTTTCTCTATATTTTGGCTGTATTTTTTAGGTTTCTCTGTGTGTGATTTTTGTTATTTGGGTGAGAAGCTCAGGTGCAGGGATAATCTTGATGTGGGGCCATGATATATTTAGTGGGCAGGGAAGAAGGTATTTGCTACGTATATAATTTGGGATGTTAGTGTGATGCCTTTTGTGGAATCTAAGAAGCCTCAAGTTAGGTGGTCTAAAGATAATGAATTATTGGAGATAGTTCTTATAGTGATTCAGATCTGCAATCACTTGCCTGTTTAATGTATATCTGTTATTTTTACTGATCTGGCTGCAATGGTCATGTGTTCTGTAAATTATTTGCGTTATTAGCTTTCTAATCCTCTTATCATGCTGCCATTTCCTTATTCTCACTCTTGAAAGAACTGTAATTCTTGTTTTCTATTAGTAGTTTTCATCCTCAAGTTAATTTTATCATATTCAAACTTCAGTTTATCTGATTGTCTTCTTAAACTTGGTTGTTTAAGTGTTGCAATATCAATGAAGGAGTGATTGAAACTGCCATATCACACTGTAGTACACTGGAGACTCTTGATATCCGCCTTTGTCCAAAGGTGAGACAAATATTTGTTTTGTTATCACTTTACCATTCCCATCTCACAACTTTATGATCCAGTTTCTCTATGCGGATGCTCATTCTGAAAAGCCATTTTGCATGGAACACTCAGTGCTTTCCAGATCTGTTTATATTACCTCTGCTGCTTGAGAATTTACTGAAAAGAAATTTCTAATTAATTCATTGCATTTGTTGGATGTGATGACTAATAGATTTGCTCTATGAGCCTGGGGAGGTTACGAGCAGCATGCCCAAGTCTGAAGCGTATCTTCAGCAGCTTGCCTCCTGCATAATGCGATCCTGAATTTCAACGTGTGGAGGTGTGAAGCAGTCATGGCTCGATTGTTGGCATCAAACGAGCGTGGTATTGACTACCATGATTTGCTTCTCTTGTAAATGTTCAATCATCTCTTCCAATCTTGGTTTTTGATTTAAGCATAAAGGCAGCAGATGTAGCTGTATCCTTTGTGTAACGTATAATAAATTGTGTTCTAAAGCTGGTTGTCATTGTATCCTTGTTTTGGCTTATGGAGATAATTAAAATTTAAAATGAACCCCTTCCCTTTTGAATGCTTCCCTGTACCTTCTCTCTCATCAACTCATCTACAGTTATAACTGCATTTATGAAATCCTTGATTTTGGGATATTACCAGCAGAAGGGATAAATGACGCCCTATTAGGAAAAAATTTAGCTCGATGTAGAGTATTAAAAACATGATGTTACAATATGATGACTGTTAAGCATCTCCAGGGAACAAAATTCCATTTGCTTGGAATCCATCACTTCATAGGAGTGATTCCAGTTTCTTCATTTCTGGGTCTAATTGGTTAGGCTCATCGTCTTCTGGCCTTCTATAGGCATCTGCAATCTCCTGTCCCCTTCTTAAAACGTCCGAAGGAACTGTTTGAAGGAGGCTGTAAGAAAAACTTTATTAGGAGACAAAACTTCATGAGGTGCAAAATGAAATGAGTTAATGATATTTAGATCAGCAATACCTGTCCAGTGCACTAATGGCAGTTCCAATCTGTGCCTTCATTGATTTCACTGAGGCTTCTTGATTATTTCTTGATGCCTGCAGAAGCAAGGAATCAAGTTCCTCCAAGGCTCTAAGGGAGCAGAAAGATTGCTGGTGTCAGAAAATTGTAAAGTAGTTCTATCCTAGATGAAAATATTTATCATAACAATTTTGTGACAAGAGAAATACAAAATGATTAAAGCTGCTCTTTCATTATCACACTAGCTGGAATGCAGTTGCAGTACCGCAGACATTGATCGACATCATTGAAAGCAGCTTCACCATTGCCAGCATCTGAAGCATATTGTGCTACCTGAAGTTCCGAACAAAATTTCCAAAGCTCAGGAAGTAGTACTCACGCACACAAAAACTGCCATAAAGCAAGATGGAATGAGAATGCAGGGTGGCCTACTGTATATGTAATTGATTTTAATCTGGTCTGTAACCAGACACAAGTATTAATTACTGAGACAATCATAACCCAACAATAGGAGACATTTGTTTGATCATGCTTAGGCTAATAAACACAATTTCTTAACGTGGTAGTCTCTTTATGAAACTTTATTGTCATTTGATCCTTCCACTCGGAAGGTAACAGCAACAGCAGAGCAATGAGATTGCTTTGCTGGATGATACAGAAATTATACATGACTTACAGCTCTAATATTTACACGTAGAGATGCAGCTGGACCAGAACGTAGTAGGGATCTGCAGAAACTATATTCGGGTTTATCAACCTCCAGAGTTTTCTCTGTAAATGATAAAAAGGAGTTTCAAAACAACCTTAACACCTATTCCTCATCCAGAAATGTCAGCTTTCCATGAACTCAACTGGAAAAGCAAGTAAATGAAACAATGAAACGGAATGATTCCTTGACCAAATTAACCAGATAGTATCCAGCAGGAATGCATTAATGATTCAAAAAGGAATCAAGACAATAACTTTTTGCGAAAAATGTGAAGAAAGATGATTAAAGTAAACACACAGCTCAATCAAAACGATTCAAACCAAGCAGACCAACATATTAGTAGCTTCCACACTAAGGGGAGCAAGTTGTATAACTCACTTGAAGAACACTTATAATTTCGCAATTGATTTTGAAAGCATGCCAGAAAAACAAATTTCTGCAAGCTAGCTACATAATGTCCCAAAAAAGAACTTAAAAAAGCTCTTAAATTATCAAAAGAGAATTACCTAAGTCCTTAATCTGTAACTGAGTCAATATAACAGCAGGTACATAAGCCTCCAGTGGATCAAGCTTTTTCCTGCAAGAAAAACATAACTTGAAAAATGAGAAAATCATTAAACACAGACATTATTTATCTCTGTAGTACCCATCAAGTTTTTCTAATAAAGCAAAGGTTACCCACAAAACAAAAGAACAAAAAGGAAACTAATTTTGAGTGAAAATCAATACCCATTACCTTTTTACATACTTATCCAGAAAGCCACCGGCCAAAGCCTCTGCAATGTCGAAAATTGAAACATTAATTAGAAATGATTGATGAATGAATAAAATAAATGAGAGAGAGAGAGAGGAACTGTAAATTCGAAGGTGATGAACATGGGTTGTGTACGGTTAGGGATAAGAAGCAAGTGAGAGAGGAGAGAGATGGAGGCCAGCCGCCTGCTCTGCCGCAAATAGGGTGGGGGCGCCGGTGACAGGCTGCACCTCACCCAACAGAATCGCTTAGCTTTTCCGGTGAGGTTTGAGCGGAGAGGTTGGGGAAGGATGGAGGAAAGGAAGGGGCAAGTGCGAATGTGCACACGGGAGTGAAGTGTGGCCATTCCGACAGAGCGCCGGCGGATTTGTCTACGGAATCGGAGAGGTCTTATCCCGTTATCCGGTTTATCCCTTTCTTTGCGCCAATTTGTAAATTTTTTCCTTTTTTTTTTTCAATTATTTGATTTTTGAACCAATTAATCGCGCTAACAATAACAAAAATTATTTCACTATTTTTTTAAAAATAAAATTTTGACTTTATTTAGTTTCAAATAACAATTAAACAAGTAATTTTGTTTTTACAATTTTTATATAAAATATCACGTAACTGCTCACACACGATACAATTATGAGGTGTTTAACAAATGCTTAAAAATATGTATTTAAAAAATAAATTATTTTCTTACAATTTTAAAATGCTATTAGAAAAAAAATTTTAAATATGATTTTTAAACTAACATTTAAAGAAAATTTAAGGATGTAATACATCTAATTGTTTTTCCAAATTTACTTAAAAGAAATTTTGAAAACTATTTTTAAAATTTTCTTTTAACAAATATTTAAATTTATGAAAAGATTTTTAAAATCATTTGTTTTGACTTTGTATAAATAATTATTAATTTTAATTTTAATTAAATAAATTAAATATTTTAAATTATATATTAATAATTATGAATTAATAATATTAATTATTAACTATTAACTATTAAAAAAAATTAATCTCAACAACCTATTTCACCTTTTTAAACTTTGTCAAAGACCCACTGTATCACGAAAGATCATGAATTTACCATTTTGAAACGACATTGTAGCTACCGGACTTCTAAAGTGGTTGGCGAGAAAGCTCCATCCAAGCTGTAAATGCTTCTAGCACAAGCAATAAATGCTTTATACATATGTTGTGAATTAATTCCCTTTTTACAATTCGATTTATAATTATTAAATTGTGAGGTTTAAGTGTTTTTTATTTTATAATTTAAATTATATTAAATTATAAAATATCATTAAATATAAAGATAACCTCAAAATTAAAGTCTTAGTTTTCATTTATGCCATTTAAATTATATAATACATCTTTTTATTTGTATAATGAAAAAACTTTAAATTGTAAAACACTTTATATTTATGAGTTATTTTTAATTAATACATTTAAAAGTACATTTATTGTATTTTTATATAATAAATTTGAATAAAAAATATAAAAATAGATTTTATTTTTAATATTAATGTTACATGAAACATTTTAATTAAATAATTAATAAAATTAAAATTATTTTTTATTTTTTATTATAAAAATTAATTATAGAAATATATAATAAATATATTCCTAAATTTAAAGGTATATATTAAAAAATTCTTTTATTTATATAAGAAAAAAACAATTCAAAAAGTGTTTATTATTTATTCACAGTAATTGTTTTTCCAAAAAAAAAAAAAAAAGACAATGAGTTCGGGTTAGAACCCGGAAACCCGGGTGGAGGCATGTCGGCAATTATTAACCAAACGACTAAACGAAGATGACAGATTACCGACTCACTCTGTTCCATCTCCGATCTCTTAAATCTCTCCGAGGTCTCCGACTACCGGCAGCAATGGCGAACGCTCTACGCTTTCTTTTGGCGGCATTTCTCTTCGTCTATGCTTCTGCTAACACTCAAAGTAAGTCTTTTCCTTCTTCTCCGCATCTTTATGCATTTCAGCGAGCTATGAACTGTGTAAGATGGTGTAAAATCAATCAAATGATTCCGAATAATGCACTTATGTCGCCGACTTGGAAAGTGATTATCAGCTGATGCAGCTGATTGATCTGCTTCGAAACTTTGAAGATTTTGTTTTTTTGTTTGTTGGGTTTTGCTTTACTAATTCCTGACGTGCTGCTTTTGGTTGTGTAGATTTTTGTTAATTAGAATCGCCGCATTACAGTTTTATTGATTGCTCGTTTAGATTTGAGTAGAGTAACGTTTAAAACAGGTGATTTTCTTGAGTTTTGATGCCGGATCTAGTGTTTTCTTGGTCAATTAGTGGTAATTTTGTTTTAGTGCCTAGCAGCTGAGATATTGGTGGAAGAGGATTATATTGGGCCAATACATTATTGGCCTGGTTTTGGCATCAATAAAAAAAAAAAAAAAAAACTTCCCTTGGTGTAAGCTTTGAAAATTTTGAAAATATTGTTAGGATAAAAATGTGTTGTGATTAGTGAGGAACATGATATGTCATATAGCTGTGAGTGAGTGACATTTAAGAACATGAAGTTCTTAAATGGAAAGGGAAATCCTTGACATGTACAAAACACAGGATTTGAGGATTCAATTAATAACAATCTTTTGGAAATAAAGTTGACTGCCGAAGAAGGAAAGAAATGTATGAAAATTAAGCTATAGTAGCTTCATCCCCAAAATCTAAGCATAAATGGCAAGTTCCACAACTTCAAAGGCCTTATAATTTATTTTACTTTTGAGTCTTCCCTCCCACATATACACCAAAAACCAGCACAAGCTGCCTTTATTTAACTGCCTCCTGACATTGAGCTCTCATGTTTAAAATTTCATGCTCTCAACTTGTTTCCAATTATATAGAGAATCATCTCTACTATAAGCTACATAGTCACTCGATCAATCTTGTTCTGCATTTGTATACATTAGCATTATTCTTGTTGCCACTCCAATGGCAAAAACCATTTGCAGAAATAATTTTCACCAATGAATTGGTATGATCTGGCATCAAGGCTCAGAAGGAAAACAGACCAACAAGTAAGCCAGAATCTAACCTTTCACAATTCCACTTAGTTTGGACCATGTAGTGATAAAGTGATTACGATGGAGGTATAGGTGTAGTTCGTGGTGAGTGGAATATCTAGATAAGTTTGGATAGGTCCAAAATGGGTAGGCAGGGGGACTGAAATTGAAAATATTGGTTAAGAGAAGCCAGATGCTTTATTATTATTAT